ACCTACCATTCCCCTCCTGAAACAGCAAAACAGTTACACCAGTGTTTAACTTCAGACCCATAAGTGTCCTCAGTGAATTCCTTTTGAAGTCAATCTAGCTGCTCACATGCTTCAAAGATAAACACGTTTTGCAGAATCAGACGCAAGTACTCAGCATTTACCAGATTCAATCCACTAAAAGGATAACGAGGTAGGCTGAGGACTCCATGATTGTGACAGAGCATTTCAGGATTAAAGTCTTTGTGAATGACTGTTATAGTTGCTGGCAAATTGTCTAACAGAAAATTGTTTTCTATCAGAAAAACAGCAATTATGTAGAAGCTAAATATAAATGGAAGCATACTGATTTTGACATATCCTTTTAAACATCATTGTGAAAGTTTGTTTAAGAAAACATTTCTCTCAGGTGTTTTTTTTGTTTGTTTTTTTGGGGGAGGAAGGAAAAACAAATCACAACTGTGGAAACGAGCAAACTAATCTCCTGCCGATCTCTAGTGACTGTAGCTGATCAAATTCTACAGTGAAAACATTTTCTACTTATGTTGAGTTTCATCTGCTCTAACTGAGGTATCTAAAGTTTACATCTGAGTTAGTGATCCATAGCTCCCAGTACAGTCAATGAAAAAAGAACCTCCAGAGTTCTATTAACTGTGCCCTAAAGTAGATGTCTTAGATAGATCAGAGTGGGGTCCTGTTCTCTGCTGAGAATGGAGGGACTGACAGTGCCTGGCTGAAACACTGATGCCTGTTTTCCAGAGTTGGGTGAAAGCAGCATGTTCAGGGGGCTGTCCATCTAATTCTGTCCTGGTTGCGGCCACAACTATTTTCCATCAAACTATTCTTTGTGTCCTGTTAAAATACTGCCACCATCCCAGCAAACTACAGCTGTGTTGTTGTGGAGCAGGGGATTTGGACTGAAGGATATACATTTTTCCCAAACATTTAAAAAATCCTTCTACTTCATGTTTATATCAGCGCAGTGCAATGGCAGCTTTAAATTCTAATATAACTGGGCATGTAAACAGCAATGCAGTGTAACAAAACAAAATAGCTTTCTTTTTTATGACTGTGTCTATATCACTAAATAGAGCAGGCCAGGGACTACCCTCCGGACCTGCAGCCAGTGGCCAAGGACTGTTCCTGGGACCAGACAAACAGTTTGACACAGCTCGCTCCCACAGGGCTCTTCCCTCTGAAGCAGGATGGCTGTGTCCAACGTGCCTGTTGGGAATGACCCCCGGCTTTCGCTGTTCTCCAAACTGTGCTTAGGAATTGCTTGGGAAAATGCAAACTGACGGGTGCTAAAATTATGCAAGGGAGTATGCCAGCAATTAAGAAGTACACACAACCATGCCTTGGCCTTGTTTTCGTTAATAGTGTAGATGTAGCTTCAGAATATTTTTTCATGGACTAAAGGGAAATGAACAAATGGCTGAAAAACTTAGTCTGGGTGAGACTCCCTTCATCAAAGGCAGCCATGCTGTCTAAGATTTTTCAGAAACTTACTACTTCCATGTGGATGCAAATTAGATTTATTTTGCCTTCCTTTCTCCCCGACCCCGATTATCTGGATACTCTCTTTTTGATATCTAGAAACTTTAAATTTATATCTTCAGTTTATGGCCAGGTCATACCAGTCGTTTCCTGTGTCAGCTTTGCTCTTTGGTTGAAATAGTCCTTCTGCCTCCTAGGGAATCATCCTGTGATGCATTTATAGAGAAGCAATCACATTCTCTCTGCCTTTGTAGTGTTAGTTAAGTTACACAACAGAGACTAACCACTGGCTAAGGATTGTGCTACCC